TGGAACGTCTGGGGGGAAGGTCCGTGGGAAGCAGCCAGCCAAATGTACCAGGCCCGCATTTGTGGGGAGATGATCTCGGGCCCCTCAGTTTGGGTTCTTGACACGACCTTGGGTTACCGGGCGGCACCTAGTTCTGCCTTCCTGGGTTTCCCGATTTTGCGCCCCCTCCCTCCCACCAAGATACTGAATGGTGGTGAGGGGACGGGGGTTCCAGCCACTCGAGAGCCCCCGTCCTCACCGCCGAGTGGAGACCTCCCTGCATCCCTGTGCCCTGGCCAAGGTCCCGGGTCCCACAGCGCAGGCTCTCGTCTGCGTGTGCCCCGTACATGGCAGGGCACCAGCTCCTGCACCCTGTGTGACCCAGAAGGTCAGAGGCCCCTCATCACCTCGACCTGCCACGAGCTCGCTTTTGTCCCCGTCTCCTCACTCTCCGCTTCCATACTGTGAGCCGTTTGTCCTCTGGACCCACGGGCCCCCTCGCCTGAGGACACATGGAGAAGACCCTTTCTCCCCTTCGTCCTTCAGGAGCGACAGGGCACCCACCTGGGAGCTGACATCAGCCCGTGACGTAGCCCCATGTCACTGTCCCCACACCACAAGCCTTTCCCTCTAGTCCCTTCCACACCGTGGTGTCACGGTCCGTTGACCAGCTTTTTGGGAGGACAGAGTGTGGTCTGACTTACACGGTCTTCCCTGCACCTGGCTCGTGGTGGAACATAAATGCTTCTTGAATGAGTGAGGGTGGAGACCAGCAAGTTACAAGATGGAGCTGGTTCAGGACAGGGAATGATGATGCACATGCGTCTCAGGGCTGTGGACGCTGGCCACACGCCGTGTCCTGTTCCGAGGAATCACGGCCGGGTCAGGGAAGGCCCCGTGGGCGAGCCAGAAACAGAGCTGGCCTCAACGTGGGGAGGTGAGCGGGTTGTCCAGCCGGTGCACTGAACAAGTGTGTGTGGTGTGAAAGGACAGGAGTGGCTGTCTCAGCGTTGGGGGCTCCAACACGCTGATGCAAGTGAGAGACGTAAAAACCACTTGTCCTGTTTGTTGCTGAGCTCCCGACCGTGGGGACTCAGGTGATCTAGGTCCTCTTCACCCCCTCTCTGGTGATCTGAGTGACCGCCCCGCGGCTTGCTTTCGCCTAGGGTGCGGTGTACGTCTACTTCGGCTCCAGGCAAGGAGGAGTTTCTTCTGGCCCCAACGTCACCATCTCCTGCCAGGTACGGGGACCCCCTGGGCCAGGGCCAGACTTCGCCACCTCCTGCTGTCCGCCTTTGAGCGTGACGTGCTCTCCTGGTTCCCCTACAGGACACCTACTGTAACTTGGGCTGGACACTGGTGGCCGCAGACATGAACGAGGACGGCGAGCCCGATCTGGTGATGGGCTCCCCTTTCGCGCCGGGGGGAGGGAAACAGAAGGGCATGGTGGCTGCGTTTTATTCCGACCCCAGCTGGAGCCACAAAGGTAGTGCTTGCGAGGGGGGAGGAGGGGGTGGGGGGGGCGGAGACCTTCTGAGACCTCCCTGCTCTAGTCTGTCCTCGTGCCTCTGGGCTTCTGTCCTATCTCCCTCCTTCCGCTATCAGGTCATCTAAATTTTCTAATAGCTCTTCCTCTTGCAGATAAGATACAAGAGTATCTACCTTTATCATCCAGGTGATATGGGTAGAATCACTGATATACAAAAAGGGGTCCAACTTCAGGTCCAGATCCAAAGGGAGCCCGTAGGTTGTTGGCAGAGGCTTTCCATGGAAGCCTAGGAACTCGGAAGGCATCCCAGTGATGCTCCAACCTGCCCGCTGGGGTCTCCGTTTATATTGCATCCTCCACCCCACAGAAGTGAGCTCCAGAAATGTGCTTGTCCAGTGACAGCCTCCCACGGAAGGTAAAGGGCACTGGTTGTCTCCTGTAGAAAAGCTGGGCGTGGAGGCGGCCAACTGGACGGTGCGAGGTGAGGCGGACTTCTCCTGGCTCGGCTACGCCCTCCACGGGCTCCGCATGAACAACACAACCGTGCTGCTGGTGGGGAGCCCAACCTGGAGGAACACCAGTAGGTGGGTGCTCCCGTGGGGGCCAGGGACCCCGAGGCACGAGGGGCAGGTGCTGGCTGCCGCGGGGGCCCGCCTGGGGGCTCAGACCCCACAAGGAAAAGCTGTGGCTCTGCGGCAAGGTGGCGGATTCTCAGAAGCTGAAGCAGGAGCTAGGAGGGGGATGAGCCTGCCAGGGCTCCTGTGACCGTCCCACAGCCTGGGTAGCAGAAGCCGCGAGAATGTGTCTTCTCCAGGGCACGGGGTTGGCAGCGGCCATCTCAAGGCCTCTCTCCTCGTCTTGCAGGGGGTCGCCTTCTCCGGGCCTCTCCTGGGTCTGCGCCTGTCCCTGGTGTCTGTCCTTACGAGGACACCCAGTCCTACTAGATCAGGCCCCACCCCGATGACCTCAGAGACCATGATGGCCTCTTTGAGGCCCGGTCTCCAAATACACATATTCTGAGGTGCTGGGGTTCAGACTCCAACATGGATTCTGGAGGAACACGATTCAGCCTGTGGCCGTGGCCCTCCCTCTACCTGCCCTCAGTGGGGAGGCAGAGTGGTGAGCTTTGCATCAGCAGAAAGCCACCCCGCTCCCCTGCCAGGAACCCAGGATCCCAGGATGGCAGGGGCGGGGCAGAGGGTGCTTGTGTTCGCCGGGCCCTGACTAGTCAGCCCGCTCTTCTCCCCCGTCTGTGTGTGCTTCCTTCCAGCCCGGGCCACCTGTTCCACGCTCACGACGAGAAACAGAGCCTCGGACGGGTGTATGGCTATTTACCCCCACAACGCCAAAGCTGGTTTACCGTTTCTGGAGACAAGGTAAGGCTGCCGCTCCCCCCACGGAGACTGGGCACCGGGGAGAGCTCTCAGAGCTGCATGGTGCCGACTGACGGCATTTCACAGACGATGGGGAAGCTGGGGGCTTCCCTGTCCAGCGGCCACGTGCTGGTGAACGGGACCCGGAAACAAGTGTTGCTGGCTGGAGCCCCGACTCACGGTAGGTCACGCGCCGGGAAACATGACTGCGTTTTTAGTCGGGTGACTTCTTGACCACATCCTTGGGGGGAAGGTTGTGAAATCTGGAGCCAGACAGACCAGACTGTATTTCCTTTTCTCGGTAATAGCAAGTGGCATAACCTGGGGGAAGTTACTTAACCTACCTGAGCATTAGTATCCTCATCCGCAAAACACAAATTATAATATCCACCTCAGAGATTTGTTGAAAATCCCTCATGAAAGTAACCGAGTGTGTTGTTAAAGCTCCAGTCTCACTGAGCTTGGAGCGGGGGGGGGGGGGGGGGGGTGTTCAGAAAATTCTACACATCAGTTCACCGGGACTAGGTCTGCTGAGGACTTATGTTAATAAAACATCACTTGTGTTACGGGAAAGTTTTAAAAAGCCAACAAAAACTTACTCCCTTTGGGCGCCTGGGTGGCTCAGCCTTTAAGCGTCTGCCTTCTGCTCAGGGTCCCAGGGTCGTGGAATTGAGCCCCGCATCGGGCTCCCTGCTCGGAGGGGAGCCTGCTTCTCCCTCTCCCTCTGCTTGTGTCACTCTCTCTCTCTCTCAATAAATAAATAAAATCTTAAATACAAAACAAAACCTACTCCCTTGAAGATGCTCAAAGTGAATCATGCTTATTGTAGAAATTTGTGAAAAGAAAAAACGTATATAGAAATCCCCCCTTATCCAGGTATTTAAGAAAAAACTTAAGCTGAAATTTAGGACGCTCCCAATTTTTCACTATTGTGAATACCATCTTCTCTCTCGAATGTCAGTGTACAGAAAACTCTTGCCTCCTGAATAGTTTAATTCCTGGACTAGAGGGTCTACTAATAAGGTTCTCCTTACATATTGTCAAGTTATTTTTCAGGAAGATTTTTGCACACATTAGAATAGTAAGAGTGGATTAGGCAAAAGAATGGCTAGATGTTTTTTTTCCTTTTCTTTCTTTCATTTTAACTGGGCTCCACGCCCAGCGTGGGGCTTGAACTCACGACCGGGAGATCAAGAGGTGCGTGCTCTGTGGACTGAGCCGGCCAGCCACCCCAGAATGGCGAGATTCTTCATTGCATGACTAAGGACACAGCACTGTAACCCCGGATGCTGACTTAGCTTTGGAGTAGTTGGGGTTTTCCCCCTTTCACAGAGCTCTTTCCAAACTCTTGCAACAGCCATGAGTGATTTTATTTGCTTCACTTTTCTTTCTACTGGAGTGCTGTGATTAGAGCTTTCCAGACTTTGTTTTAATGTCCTTCCTGTCTTGGTATTTTCCTGTTACAAAATACAACAATATAAAAAGATCAATTTACATATCTGTATTATATACAAGTTAACCTTATGTATTTATTTATGAGAGACAGGATCAGTATCCCTCAGTGCAGTTTGGTAACAGACTCGCTGCACTTTGAACGGTCAGATGTACTTGCAGGGTGATCCCTGAGGGCGGTGGTCGGGAGCATGACCCCGTCAGGCCTGTCCCTCTGCCCCTGGGCTCAGGCTCCTGCTGAAGCTATGTGGTCACTGTACACAACGAACCACTTAAATATTTAGTGGGGATTTTAGGGTGCTGATGAGGAACTGTGGAGTATCTTCAGTATGAAAACGATGCTACTCAAACATGGCGAGGCCGAGATGAGGTGGGCATTCCTACGGTGCTGGTGACAGGTGGACTGAGGCTGCCCCTTCCAGAAAGGTTTGGCAGAAGGGCAAGGGCCTCAAAAGATGCTCATTCCCTTGGATGCTCTTTGGACCATTTCTAAGAATCTGCTCTCAGGAACTACTCCAAACCGCAGGAAAGGATCTTTAGAAATAGCCTAAATGTAAAACTATAAAATTTTATAATTTGCAACAATCTCCATTTTAACACACACGTTGGGTATCAAGCTCCAGAAAGCAATATACGTTCTAGAACTTTATAATTTTGGGGGGGCATTTTCCACACCTTTTATGCTGATAGTAAAAAGTCTTGGCATTCACAAGTTCGACACTCGAGTTTCGACTTTCCCAGTAATCCTGAAAGTCAGTGATACAAAGTAGTATGACTCATAGCAAGTATGGGCCACACTGCAAAGCAGTGTCCCCTGCCCTGGGGCCCGTGAGGGAGTCCGGCTGGTGGGACAGACTGTACGACAGCTCTGTTCTCTGACATGTGGGGGAAACGCTAGAGCCGGAATTTAGACTCTGTCGGGTTTGTCAGGAGCGTGACTGACGCAGGCAGTTTGCGGTGTAAGGGAAGATGGTCGTGTGGAGACTACTGCAGGGTCAGAGCTGTCTGATGGGGTAGCCCTGCGCGTGCCCCACGCCTGGGTCTCTGTGCCCAAGCCTGCTGCACCTTCCCACCGAAGACGCCTGTTCTGTGATCCCGAGCCATTGTGTCACTTGAGGTATGGAAGGCTGAAGCAAGACTAGGGCTCCATTTGGTGCTTTGTCTTCTCTTCATTCCTGGGATGGCAGCAGATACCATGCCCTGGTTTATTTCAGATGAGGTGTCCAAAGTGGCATTCCTGACCATGACCTTGCACCAGGGCGGAACCACTCGGATGTATGAACTGACCCCTGACACACAGCCTTCTCTGCTCAGCACCTTCAGCGGGGACCGCCGCTTCTCTCGATTTGGTGGAGTTCTGCACTTGAGTGACCTGGATGGCGATGGCTTAGGTGGGAAAGAACAGGGCCAAGGATCAAATCCCTTTGGATCATGTAGCTTCTGCCCTCATAATGGACAGCTCAGTAGTCCAAGGGCCTTTATGTCTATTTTGAGTCAGGCGAGACCAGAGCCAAGTGAGCTAGACTTCTTGAAGGCGGTAACAGGAGAGCCACCCACATCAGTTGTCATCCATGGATGATCAACTAGGAAACAAAGCCTTTGCTGGGTGGGGAGGGTGGACTGCGTGAAGGACGCGCTAATCTGACTTGGGGGAGGTTGGGTTAGGACAACGGAAAGGATGACAGGAGGGAGCCCCTTCCTTCTGGTTTCTATGGCTTGCAGATGAAATCATCCTGGCGGCGCCCCTGAGGATAACGGACGTCACCTCTGGAATGCTGGGTGGGGAAGACGGCCGTGTTTATGTCTATAATGGCAAGCACATCACCTTCGGCGACATGACGGGCAGATGCAAATCATGGATAGCTCCATGTCCTGAAGAGAAGGTAACATGTGCCTGTACAAAATCTATGCCATGTTGGCAAAGGAGGCTACCTGGTGATGCCTCGTAAAATGGCGTCCACTGCAGACCCTCAAGAGTTTTTACCTGGACTGTTTGCAGGACACAATCCCATGCCTGTGTTCGTGGGCGCAGGTGGCCCTGCGTTCTCGCAGGTCTGCAGCTCCGTGCCTGTGGCTGCGGTCTCTGGACGTGGTGTCACCTGCTTCTGGTCACAGCCCGCCCCCTGGGTGGGAGCCCACAGCAGAGGAAGACAGGCCAGGGCCACTGCAGTCTCATTTCCTGTTTCACTGCCTTTTTTTAAAGATTTTATTTGAGAGTGCAGAGCAAGAGTGAGAGCGCACAAGCAGGGCCAGGGGCAGAGGGGGGAAACGGTCCCCGCTGAGCAGGGAGCCCAACGTGGGGCTCGATCCCAGGACCCTGGGACCGTGACCTGGGCCTAAGGCAGATGCTTAACTGCTGAGCCACCAGGCGCCCGTTTCACTGCTTTTATTCCTTTTCTCAGGTGGGTTTCCTTAAGGGTTCCCTGGGCATAAAAAACCCATTATTTAGTTTAATTGTAAAATTGAAGTTTTTTAAAAAATTAAATCTTCTACCTAGAATTGCACTCTGCAGAAATAACCTTTTGATGTGTATCCTTCCGGTATTTTTTCCTGTGCATTTTACTCTGTGCCTGGCACTATGCTAAACAGATCTCTCCCTCCCTCCAGCCCCTTCTTTAACTCACATCAAAGCTGGTAAGTTGGCACTATGCCAGGTGGAGACAAAGGATCCGAGGGGAAGATGCTCTGGGTCACAGAGCTCGGAAATGAAAGGACTGGGCTCTGCACCAAACACACACTCCATCATTACACTGAGTGTGTGAATGTATTTTATTAACAACTGTGACCTATTGTACCCAATTTTTAACGAGATTTTGTCTTACCTGTAACCCTTTCTCTATGCCTGCTTACATTCTCCTACATTTCCCAGCTGCCTACTGTTTTATCTGTGGATAAGCCAGTTTATGTAAACATTACTTAAGTGGCTATTAGTCCCTTAGTCTATTTCATTTCACCGTTATAAATAAGGATACAAATATTCATGTATAAACACCTCTGTGCATCTATTTTCTTGAGCTAAGTTCCTGTGTCAAAGGGCAACAAAGCATAGGGCTTAGAGTGTAGTTAAAACCCACACCCCCAGTAACCAGTCCCTCTCTCATCCTTTCCTCTCAGGCCCAGTACGTACTGATTTCTCCTGAGGTGAGTACCTCCTACGGGAAAACCACGAAGGTGCCCTTTCCCTTATTTTTTAAACTGATCAAATATGGCATGTCTTCCAAAGACCATTAACAGCCCCTGTTTTATAGGCAAGCTCAAGGTTTGGGAGCTCTGTGGTCACCGTGCGGTCAAAAGACAAGGTGAGCAGGAGGACTGCACTCCTCACGTTTATATGCTAAGGCCGGGGTGCGGATGATCTCATTTTATCGTTTAGATTGTGTTTGAAAAACACAAAAAAGGGGTGCCTGGGTGGCTCAGTCGTTAAGCGTCTGCCTTCGGCTCAGGTCATGATCCCAGGGTCTTGGGATCGAGCCCCACATCGGGCTCCCTGGTCTGCAGGAAGCCTGCTTCTCCCTCTCCTGCTCCCCCTGCTTGTGTTCCTTCTCTCGCTGTGTCTCTGTCAAATAAATAAATAAAATCTTTAAAAAAAAAGAAAAACACAAAAAAACATCCACACACAGTCCCATCACTTTCCCAGTTTCATCCCCGAGGGCAGGGCTTGGCAACTTACAGCCTGTGGGCTGCCTCGAGTTCTGTACAGCCCGTGAGCTAAATTGGAGAAAAAAGAAATGAAGTTTAAATTTCAGTGTCTGTGGCTTCCTCGGGGCTGCGTACTACCGGACGAGCTGGCCGGCGGCCTCAGAGACCGCTGTCCCCCGGAGCCTCACGCATGAATACTGGTCTGGGCCCTTCAGGGAACCTCGCAAACCCCTGCCACGTCGGACAGCTGCTGTTAATGTTCTTCCAGACTCTGGGGTTTCTGTAGGACTCTAGGGACAGACAAACTCTCTCCTGCTCGCGTACCGCAGTGTATCCTGCTTCCTCTCAAATACACGTGGAGCTACCTTCTTCAGGGCTGCAGAGTATTGTCCAGATGCACCCTATTTTATCCGGTTCACTTTCTCACATTTACTTGAAATTATTTCCAGTTTTCTTACTATTATGAGCATTCTTGCACAGCTGTATATTTTTATATAATATCCCTGCTAATGATATTCTTGGAAGATTGCTAGATCAAAGGGTATGCACATTGTGGATTTTAATGGATACAGCAGTTAAAGGGTTTATCTTCATCTCCAGCTAGACCACTGAATACATTCGTTTACTCTAGGATATTGCACAGAACTGTGCAGGCTCTGAGACAAAGTCCCCACCTTTGAGGAAAAACATCATTTACACACATGGGAAGTAGAATAAAATGCACATCAGGATAGGATCAAGGGCTAAAGAGTGGGGTGGACCTGGCTCCAGTTTACGGGCATTTGGGGACACTGCCCTCTGGTGGCCCACAGTTCAAGTGGCCCTTGCTTGAATGTTATTTGTAGGCAAGCCTGGTAAGTAAAATGTAGGGTTATCCAGAAGAAAAACCCGATGGATTATAAAGTTTAGGGGGGGAATCTCAAAAGGTCTGGTGATAGATTACATCATAAGCTTGGCTTACTCTTTTTTTTTTAAAGATTTCATTTGACAGCGCGGAGAGGGAACACAAGCAGGGGGAGTGGGAGAGGGAGAAGCAGACTCCTGCTGAGCAGGGAGCCGGATGTGTGGGGCTTGATCCCGGGACCATGACCTGAGCTGAAGGCAGACGCTTAACCTTAACTGACTGAGCCACCCAGGGGCCCTAAGCTTGGCTTACTCTTAAAATTCGTTTTCCGAAAGTTAGACATTACACACCTATCAACCCTTACTTAGAGATCTGAAAGTAATTTACAGTTGATTCCTTTCTGTACAACACTGCAAGTTCACCTTTGTCATTACAGTTCACTGTGGTGAACATTCATACTATTTCACTTGCACGACACCTACCTGGGATTGTTGGCGCTGCTGACAAGTGGACATGGACAGTCTGAGGATGAGAGTGGCCACTCACTGAGCCTCCAGCAACGGGCTGGAATTAGGACTCGGCCTGCACCTGAGCCGAGCTGCCTTAGTCTGCGTCTCTGAAACCTCGTGGCACTAACCCGTCTCCATCTCTGTTGTCACCCGAGCACAGCAGGATGCGTGGACTAGGGCAGGAGCTTCACAGGCATGATCAACATACTGTTCTGTGTCCCCTACAGAACCAAGTTGTCGTTGCTGCTGGAAGGAGTTCTTTGGGAGCCCGACTCTCCGGGGCACTGCACGTCTATAGCTTCGACCTCCATTAAAGACTTCACCACCCCTTCCTACTCTGCATCCCCTCCCTGTGCCAAGTCATCTCCAGGGTGAACATTCTGGTGGCAGAGGGGCCCATCCAGGGGAGCCTGAGTAGATCCTGCGAGAGGTGGGGCTCCTGGAGTGGAGACAGGCCTCTTCCCAGGGAATGATGACAGATGCTCTGCTTACTTGTGTCCCCTTCCAGCGCTTCCTTCCTTGCTTCCCCAATATTGAAACCTGGGACTCAGACCTGCCAACTGCTTTCCCCTTCACGTGAATACCTAGGGCTGATGCCTGGAAAGGACTCTCTGGTTAGCTCTTACGAAAATCTGTCCATTTCTCCTAAAAATGTCCTTTTAAAATTGGTGACCCGTTCCAATCAAGGTGAAATAGAAAGCACAGTATACAAGGAAAAAGTGAGCAGGGAAATAGTACAGTGAAAAGTACGGGGGTGAGGGAGAACCTCACAACTCCACAGGGTTTCAGAGAGTGAAGGACAAATACAACACTAAAAGCTCACCTTTCAGTGCCCTCAACTGCTTTTGAGAAGCGGCTGTTTGCACAGTTGAACCCGGTGACTCGACATGGGTCCTGTGTCCTCTAAGAGGAGTCCGTATCGCACTGGGCTGGTACAAGCCGTGCCCAGCCCGCCAGCAAGCGCTCTGGCTTGAGGCCACCGCCCGGGAGGGAAGCGGGATTCATCTGCAGGTCCTACGGAAGGGCATCTCTGACGGAAAGCCATCGACCCAGGCTTCTAGCTTCACTGAACACGTGAAGGCGTTGTTACGGCTTCTGTAGCCATCAGGGAGCAAAATAAGCGATGACAAGAACCCTTTTTAGCTTCTCTAGAGGCAATGTAGAGAATGGTTCAAAGAAGACAGGAATCCAGCTGAGGAGTCAAGTTAAATTAGAAATCAAGGGAAAGCTACTCAACGGGGCGCCTGGGTGGCTCAGTTGGTTAAGCGACTGCCTTCGGCTCAGGTCATGATCCTGGAGTCCTGGGATCGAGTCCTGCATCGGGCTCCCTGCTCGGCGGGGAGTCTGCTTCTCCCTCTGACGCTATCCCCTCTCATGCTCTCTCTATCTCATTGCCTCTCTCAAATAAATAAATAAAATCTTTAAAAAAAAAAAAAGGAAAGCTACTCAAGTTAACATTGTGAGCGTGAGGAGAGTACAGAGGGAAGAATGGGCACACGCCCCTAGATAGCACCTCGGATGACTCGTGTGACAGTCTCTTACAGAGTATGCTGGCTGCCTGTTCCCTAGGGAACAGCAAAAAAGCACAGACACCATTTGGTTTCATTTGGGGAACAATGAAAGAGGCCAGAATGACTTAACTGAGTAGAACATGCTGATGAACTGCAGCGTACCGGGCCTCTTCCTTACAAGTCTGTGTTCTCGCTCACCACCACCTCCCTGACCGAGAGGGCCTGTGTTGACACACGATCATTCTCAATGTCTAAACATACCAGACAGAAGCAAGTTCTCACATAGGATTTATACAGGATATTTAACCATCTTAATCCCATATTCAAAAGTGCCAAGTCCTACTCTCAAAGGTCAACCTGGATGGCAAAGATGTACAAACTGGTCTACAGGGTCCAGTGCATTATCCCCAGAGGTGGGTTACGTTTTAAATCTAAGTATTAACTGTAGCTCTAAGCATGGATTCCGAAATGCTTAACAAAAATGGAAATACCTTGTACGGTTTTAATCTCGATTAACACAAATCTGAACTTAAAGGTCATGGAACAGATGTACATATTTGTGATTGTTTTTCTATTACCTGTGTATGTAACAACTTGCTTCAAGACTTCACGATCAACATGGTTTCCATGCCTTTGAATCACAGACCTATAGAGATTTGGAGTGCATTTGGGAATGAACTCCGATCTCTGAATGCCCTGTCCACGTACCATTAGACCAGCTCCATGGTATTACTAAAGTAATGAAAGTAAATCTATTAAAGTTTGTTAGATAAATATTAACTCCCAGGGGCGCCTGGGTGGCTCAGTTGGTTAAGCATCTGCCTTCAGCTCAGATCATGATCCCAAGATACTGGGATTGAGCCCCGCATCAGGCTCCCTGCTCCGTGGGGAGCCTGCTTCTCCCTCTCCCCCTGCTTGTGTTCCCTCTCCTCCGCCAAATAAAATCTTTGAAAAAGTATTGTAACTCCAAAAATAAAGCTGTGTACAACTCTTGGAATAACGTGCCCAAAAGCTTTTTATTTTAGTGGTTAATTTCTCACAGTTTGCTATCTTCGGTCACATTTCTTTAGAGGCCTTCCAAAAACAGTCTAATATCATTCCTTGAACTTGTTAAACGGAATAAGACTGCTTGCTCACATAACCAAACACTTGTGCTCATTTTAATTCAAAATTTAAAATCGCCTAACTTCTTAGGTTAGCAGAGCGAGTTGACATTTTGAAATCTTCCTTGATCTAACCACCTTCAAGAACTTTATATAACACCAGTAACTTCTCTACATCACACTTAAGAGGTAGTTGCTCCTGGAAAAAAAATTATTCCACAAACTCACACCCAAAAGAAAAAGGCCCAAATTCTGTGCCTGATCAGAGTCAAATCAAGCCCCTTGGGCTTTCAATTCTTCGCATGTCACAGCGAAGTCATAGTGATAGGTTACCTAGTGACAAAGCGGAGTGTCCCATGAGATGGAAAGGTTATCAAAGTGTCTTCAAAGTCATCACATTTATGATGCTAGAGAGTTCTGTATTCCCACATTCCGACACCCACACCTCAAGCGTGCCCCTGACCCACAGGGAGGTGCCGAGTGGGCCACTCTGTGCTGAGACCAACCCAGCCTGGCCATCGCATCCTCCAGCTTCTAGTGGCTTCTTCTAACCACACATGGGAGTGGGGAAAGGTACAACTCTGTCTTCTCTCAAACCAGCTACTGGAATAGCATTTTTACTCCCATCACGAAACTACTTGGTAAATGGACTCCTAAACTACCTCCCATGACATCCTATTACAGTAGCAGGTAAGCCCAACATTATCATGTGTAGTAGAAGAGCTGCTCTGGACACTCTGAAGTTTGAACCTCTGAGGTGCAGGCATATAGATTAACTGGGCTACGTACACTTTCATCTACTCTAAAGACAGGGAATGACCTAAGAGCAGTAACAGGATGGAAATAGTTTCAACATTACTTCCAAAGGCTTCCATTATAGCCAAGCAGAGAAAAATAGTTTCAGGGGTCAAGAGAATAAAATCTTGATTAACTGGAATCCATAAAAGGGGGACAAATACAAGAAAATACGGTACGTTAAAGGTTGATTTAAAGGACAAACTTTCAGAGTTCATTTATGGATTTTCCTACCTTACCTGAGACAAAGTTCCCAAGAACATGATCCCCTTACTAAGAACTGCTACCTGATCTTGTCACTGTGGGCCTGTCAAGTTTTCAGGCTTTGCTTGGCCTGAGACATGTACAAATCAGAAAATCTATACAACAATCAATTCTCACATGCCTATAAAAACAGCATTTTAAGGTTTTTGCTTCTTTCCTCAATTTTGAAAATGCAGTTAAGTTCCAGCATTGTGGAGTGCCATGATATCTTTATCATCAGACATTACAATTTTAGTGATTTTTTTCAAGTGTCTGACTCTATAAAAGAAAAAGAGTACCAGAAGTTTCCTGTGACTACCATGAAAAGGAACCCGGTCTCTCCTGTGTTGATGTCTCTTAACGGTTTGTCAGGACGCTCTTGCCTGATCCAAGACCATCGGGCCGGAAGCTGTGCTTCATTTCCAGCCTTCTGTCTGCTTGAAGGGACTTCTTGGGTAAAGAGGCCATCTAAATAGAGCAGGAAAATTAATCACTTTAGTTTCGGTCTGTCTTAAAAGAAATGCCATGAGTAAAAGGAAAGGTGACGAGCAGATGAGGGGAGACTACAAGCCCTGTGTCAGTACGCTAAGTATTCATTCCTGGCATAAATTGGGAATAGAAAGGTAAGAAAAAGGGTAAACTTTCTATCTTTTCTTAATGAGAACACTACATTTTCTAAATTTCAATCTGAGCTATGACAAAGCCTGCAGCAGAATTGCCAACATCTGTCTAAATGCAGAATGCTCATCCCAGAGTGATGTATTTTGCATAGAGCACTAAGCTGTTCACCGGGCCAGGCACTGTCCCAGTAATAAGTACTATTCTCCCACTAACTCTATGACACCACTGCCACTGACCTGACCGACAGATGTAGAAATGAAATCACTTGCTCAGGGTCACAAAGCCGGTGACACCACCAGCTCAGGCGGTTGGTCGGCCTGCAGACCCAGACCATAACCTTCGGCTACACTGCTGCGACCCAGACCCTTCATACCACGGGAGGCAAAGGAGCTTCTAGTTGTCGTCCCAGGAATGACAGCAAACGCCTCCAAATGAGGCCACTTCCCATAAACATAATTCCTGTAATCAGCCAAAACACTCTGTGGTCCTAAAAGAGAACACAGAGTTAATTTAAATCACAAAAGCTCGGGTTCCTTAGCAGTACAGTTCCCATACTATGGTAGGCCCAGAGCTTAAACAAGCCTTTTTTTTTTTTAATTTAAAGATTTTATTTATTTGACAGAGAGACACAGCGAGAGAGGGAACACAAGCCAGGGGGAGTGGGAGAGGGAGAAGCAGGCTTCCCACTGAGCAGGGAGCCCGATGCGGGGCTCAATCCCAGGACCCTGGGATCATGACCTGAGCCGAAGGCAGATGTTTTAACGACTGAGCCACCCAGGCGCCCCTTAAAGAAGCCTTCTGTTGTTTGTACAGCTCTTTCCTATAGAAAGGACCGAAGAACAAGCCTTGATACCCAGAGAATCAGAGAATAAATTAGAAGGGAAACATGACATAAAAGGGCTTCAATATTTTAAAATCATCTATAAGCCAAACATAATAACCACTTTTACTTTGTGTTTCCTCCCAATCTTCATTTACGTTTATACAAATGTTAATAGTTCTAATCACAGAGGACATACAACTGAATTTAAATTTTTTGCTTATAGGCATAGCTCCTAAGCTGTGAGCTGAGGTGTCCTGGGTATCACAACACCCCAGATTATTTTAAGTTTTCAAGGAAAACACAATGACATCTGCAGAAGAGACCTAGCTACTTCATAAACAACTTGTTAGGTAACAACTTTTGGTCTAGTAATCCTATGTAAAAATTACTAAGACACTAGACACTAAATGCATCATGAACCAAGAAAGTTTGGGAACCTCTGACTTACGGTAAACATTTTTCCTGTCATTTTCAAGCTTGTACTCTTCTGTCAGTGTAATGTTCATGCCTCCGTGGACGGAACCACAGACCCCCCGGTCTACAGCTACTAGCCGGCTATCAACTACAGCCCAGGTAGCTCCAGAGAGTGGGACCCCCCCCGCCCCACAGCAGTGTGTTACACAAGCGATTAGCTCTCACCGGCGGAAATGCACACCATATATGAAGGAAAAACCCATCTCTTTGGAACATGAACTTAGACATACGTCAGGACAACAAGTGCTAACATGCATTAACTATTTTTGGTGAATATATTTCTAGTTATCCAAAAAGAGGGCCTAGTTTATTAAGCAAAAATTATGTTTAAATGAGATTTAGAACAATAGACTACTACTGTCTTTGCTGTAGACTGGTTCTACAATCCACCTATGAATAAAAATTCGAGAATGCCAAAATGTGATAAACCAGGGGGGTTAAGTTCCAACCAAGTTTGAAATTTCAAACACACACAGAAATTGTGGGAAGATGGCACAGGAGGAGGACCCGAAGCTCAACAGGTACAACCAGACAACACATCAGTGTAAACCCAGAAAGGACCTGAAGACTGGCAGAACAGACTCCACAAGTAAGTGGGAGAAGGGGCCACACCCAAGAGGGCAGAAAGTACGGAGACCTGGTGGGGAGCTAAATGAAACTGTGGGGCTGCCCACGGGAGGAAGGAACTTGCCAGCACAGAGAAGGGGGAGCACCAGACTATTACACTGGGAGATGACTACCCATAACATTTGGCCTTGAAAACCAGAGGGGCTGAGTTCCGTGAGTTTTTACAATCAGCAGGACTTAAAACTTGGAATTTTAAAAATCACCAGGCTCAACTTCAGGAGAGCAGAGAGGCTGAGAGGAAACTGAGTCCCCACCATTAAAGAGACAACACAACTAACAGCCTGGGGAGATACAGCAAAGAAGCAGCAGTTTGAAAAACACCTGGTGCGAACGGTGGGAGAGTCGTTTGCTAATCTCAGAGTGTTCTGGAGAGACAGAGATCTTGGGAGACGCCTCCAGGAACAAAGGACCTGCAGGTGGTATCCACTGCTCCCCCCCCCACAGCTGCCTGGGGGAACTAGCATTTGCTTACACTGCACCCAACTTCCCACCCCTGAGCTTCCCATCCGCACCCTCCAGCCGGGCCTGCCTCAGTCCCAGCTCAGGGTCCCATCCCCCAGAAGACCCACACAAACCTTGCTAATACCGAGCCTCCCACACCCGGGGGGTGGGGGTTTGCATCCACCCCTCCAAAGCAGGAGCCCATCAAATGCAGCACCCCCAGCCTGGCACATGCAAGCTGCCCCCATAGGGGCCAGCACCACTGCAAAGCACCTCCTGCCCGGGAGAAGGGAAGCTAACCACACACACTGAGTGTGGCCCCCCCCAAGGTGGGCTAGGGGCAGCCAGCTGGTCAGACTGCAGGCCCTGACCACACACAAGCTTCTCGGGGGACAATGCAGGGAACGCATCCTGCAGTTTGGTGCTTTCGCAGCTCTGGCAAATGCCTGCTCTGACCCAACCGAAGCCCGAGGTGGCCCTGGACTGACCCATTAACACCACAGGGAGCAGGAACAGCCACTGCACACACGTGGCCTGGCCACACAGCAGGGTGCACACAGCACACAGAGAGAACAGCTCTGAAGCACCAGGCTCTGGTGAACAGGGGACCTTGCACTGCAGGCAGAGAGAACTTCTTTCCCCTGAGGCCACCACCTTCAAGAGCAGGAGACACAGCTGACTTTCCTAACACGTGGAAACAGACACCGAGAGGCAGACAAAATGAGACAAAGGAACATGTCCCAAGTGAAACAACAGGACAAAGTCACAGCAAGAGACCTAAGTGAAATGGAGATAAGCAATATGCCTGATGGAGAATTTATTTATTTATTTATTTTAAAGATTTTTTATTTATTTATTTGACAGAGAGAGACACAGTGAGAGAGGGAACACAAGCAGGGGGAGTGGGAGAGGGAGGAGCAGGCGCCCCCTGATGGAGAATTTAAAGTAATGATCATATACTCAGGACTTAAAAGTGGAGGACATCAGTGAGGCCCTTAATGAGATAAGAACGAACCATTTAGAGATGAAGAACACAATCAATGAAATTAAAAATATACTAGATGGAATAACTAGTAGACTAGAGGAAGCAGAAGACCTGGAGGACAGTCATGGAAAGTAAAGTTGAACAGGTGAGAGAAAAAAAAAATTATGCAAAACAAGAACAGACTTAAGGAACTCAGTGGCTCCATCAAGTGTAATAACACTGGCATTATAGGGATCCCAGAAGGAGAAAAGGGGGCAGCAAATTTATGTGAAGAAATAACAGCTGAAAACTTCTAGAATCTGGGAAAGGAAACAGAAATCCAAATCCAGGAGGCACAGAAATAGCCCAACAAAATCAACCCAGGAGATCCATGCCAAGACACATAGTAACTGGGGCACTGGGTGGCTCAGTCAGTTAAGAGCCTGCCTTCAGCTCAGGTCATGATCTCAGGGTCCTGCTCATCACAGAGTTGGGCTTCTCCCTCTCTCTACTGCTGCCCCACCCAAATGCTCGCTCTCAAATAAATAAATAAATAAAATATTTAAAAAAAAAAAACACCTAGGGGCACCTGGGTGGCTCAGTCGTTAAGCATCTTGCCTTGGGCTCAGGTCACGATCCCAGGGTCCTGGGATCGAGCCCCGCATCAGGCTCCCTGCTCAGTGGGAAGCCTGCTTCTCCCTCTCCCACTCCCCCTGCTTGTATTCCCTCTCTCGCTGTGTTTCTCTCTGTCAAATAAATAAATAAAATCTTAAACAAAACAAAACAAAACAAAACACCTAGTAATTAAAATGGCAAAAAGTGGTGATAAAGAGAGGACTTCAAAAGCAGCAAAAGAAAGAAGTTAAGTACAAAGGAAACCCCAAGGCTATCAGCTAATTTCTCAGCATAAACTGCAGACAAGAAGGGAGTAACATGATAAATTCGAAGTCCTGAAAGGGAAAAATCTGCAGCCAAGAACTCTCTATCCCGCAGGGTTATCATTCAGAATAGGAGAGACAAAGGGTTTCTCAGAGAAACAAAGGAATTTATCACCACTAAACCAGCCTTACAAGAAATGTTAAAGGTGGCTCTTTGAGTGGAAAGGAGACTGTAAGTGAGAGTATGAAAAGTAGGAAACACAAAAGCAGTAGAAATAAGTACATCTGTAAAAGTCAGTCAAAGGATGCATAGTAAAAGGATGTAAAGTATGACACCCAAAATGTGGGGGGGGAGAAGAGTAAAGAATGGGTTCAAACTTAGGTAACCATCAGCTTAATACAGACTGCTATATGCGAAGATGTTATATACTAACCAGTGGTAACCACAAACCAAAAACCAGGAATAGATATGCAAAAAATAATATAAAAAAAAAAGGAATCCAAGTGTAACACTACAGAAAGCCACCTAATAATGAGAGAAGAGAGCAAGGGAAGAAAGGAACACAGAAGAACTACAAAAACAACCATTAAAGAAGCAACAAAATGGCAAAAAGTATATATCTATCAATAATTACTGTGA